TTTCAGTCATATTTTCTATTGGTTTATTTGTTTTCCTGGATTTTAGTGATCAACAAAGGTTAGTTACAGTTGCAGAATTTTCAGAAACTTCCTTGAGAATTATACTTTTGGTAATTCCTATAGCACCTTATGGAGTCCTGGTATGGCATTGTGGGTTAATGAGCTGGACTGCAAAGTCAGTTCGAACTGCAAGGTCAGCAGTTCAAGCTCACCATTTGCTCCTTGGAAACCTCATATAGGGTTGCTATGGGTCGGACCCTAAGGAGCTCTGGTAGAGTAGTGGTTACGAATTGGGCTGCAAACCGCAAGGTCAGCAGTTTGAAACTACCAGCTGTTCCGCGGGAGAAAGATGAGGTTCTCTGCTCCCGTAAAGATTTACAGCCTCGGAAACCCTGTACAGGGTTGCTATGAGTCAGAACCAACTCCACGCACATAACAACAACAACAACAACAACAAATGGGTCGGACCCAACTCCATGGCACTTAACAACAACAATAGCACCTTATATACACGTTCTCGCTTGGCTACACGGAAGCACTCTGAGACAAACATCAAGTTGGATGACTTAAGGATGCCCATGAGGACTGGTGGAGCCCTGGTGTGGCGCTGTGGGATAAAGCACTGAATTGCAGGTTGGTTTGAACCACAAGGTTGGTACCAGCCATTCCTTGGAAACCCTATACAGGGTTGCTAGGAGTCAGAACTAAGTTGATGGCACTCAACAACAAAAGGCCTGGTATTTATATGCATTAAATTTATACTGAGGAAATGAATATGTAGAAGAAAAGGAGACACAAACAGGGTTAAAAAAGAAAGAAAGGAGGAAAAAGTTTGATCTCATTTGAAGTTAGCACTAAGATTAAAGAGTATGACAAGCAGACTTACTGATAGAGACTGGAAGAACCCGAGACCATGGTCTTGGCCATCCTTCAGGTCTGGAAAGGAATGCACGTTTAGCCAAATAATAGATAGGTAGATGGTGGTGGTGGTTTGGTTCCGACTCGTAGTGATGCTGCATAGGGTTTCTGAGGCTGTATATCTTTACGGGAGTAGAAAGCCTCATTGTTCTCCCGTGGAGCAGCTGGTAGTTTCGAACTGCTGATCTTTAGGTTAGTAGTCCAGCTTGTAATTCTTGTAACTCACTACACCAGTAGGACTCCTTAGATAGGTAAATGTTGTTGTTGTTGTTAAGTGCCATCAAGTGGATTCTCACCCATAGCGACCCTGTCTAGGGTTTCCAAGGAGCAGCTAGTGAGCTTGAACCACCGACCTTGCAGTTCAAACGACTCTGCAGTCTGACGCATTAACCCACAGCACCACACCAGGGCTCCAGACCAGGAGTCCAGATAGGGAGGATAAAAACACTAGTAAGGCATGCTCTCCATGGAATGGTCAACAATCGAAGATCAAAAGGGCAACGATTACCTAAGGACAAAGTTCAGCTGGGTTGGGAAGGAGGTTGGGGGAATCAAAGGGAGGAAGCAGGATAACTGTTGTTACACAGCGGGAATTGCAGTTGTGATGAAACAAAATGCAGGATTTATTGAATGTAAAACTGGTGATCTGCTCTGTAAGCCTTCACTCAATTCACAATAAAATGTTTCAATAACAGAAGATGAAAGAGCGTGAGGGTAGATGACCAGTTAGTGGCTACTGGATTTTACAGGCATTGGAACAGACTCAACAAGGGTTGGGTTGGATCTGGGATTTTGTCAACCTAAGTGGATTACTTGTTTTTCCCTCCTTGTCTGCTTTTGTTCAGTCTTGTAGATGATCAGGGGGACAGATATACAAACTTTAACATTAGTTTTACCTGTCTTCCCAACAGATCAATCATGAAAAAATGTCCATGCCATTTTGTTCATTTTACAATTGGAACGTGCTAAGTTTAACAAATGATCAACAATCAGTAACTCAGGTATTTAAGAATGGTGGTGGTTATGTGCCATGGAGTCGGTTCTGACTCATAGCGACCCTGTACAGGGTTTCTGAGGCTGTAAATCTTTACGGGAGCAGAAAGCCTCATCTTTCTCCCATGGAACAGCTGGTAGTTTCAAACTGCTGACCATAGTTCACTCTTAATCTAATTATCAATTGTACACACTTTTGCATATGACAGTAATACGGTTATGTTGTACGCAGATAACTATGTTGTATGTATTTTTAATATTTCTTTCATATAGGTAACAGGCAGGCACAATGCTTTCACCTTTCTTAGATCAGAAGTACATGCTGACGCATGACAGGACTAGGCTGCTTTGGTAAGAACAAGGGAAAAGAATGTGGCTTGGTTTTCTGAAATAAAACCTCAACACTGATGGGGGAGAATACTGTGTAAGAGGGAAGAATGTATCAGAGGAAGCAAAACGGGAGCATTTGATAAAAGACCTTGATAAATAAAACCCAGTTCCATTTCTTTGGAGATAGCTTTTCCAGGGAATAATCAGAAATAATGAAGTAAGGAGGTTGGTAAAATGTTTTTGCCTTTTCCTGAGTTCCAAATAAATTGTACATCGTGTGGACTGGTAATTACAAATGAAAACAAAACCATCACAGGCACTGGGTTCCAATAGGCCCATTTAGGTAACAGTATTGATTAAAAGTACTTGATCACCTTGACGGAATACCAAGGCCGCAGCTGTGCCTCGTCAAAAACAACCTTGCACAGATGCAAAGGTGGTCTTAAGAGCTGACTTTGCAAAGCTAGGTCCATCTAGGGAGTTTTATTTCTGTTCCTACTCTAGACACATCCCAAAAGGAGATGAGTCTGTAATTGACTGAGTTTGCCTACAAAGAGCCCAAGTAGCTTTCACCAGAGTACTTTTCCTGTGTAGCTTTATGAAGCCACTGCATTAGGCTGATTTCCCTACAGAAAGCCCAGCCAAAGGCTGCAGAAGTTGTTTGTACTTCACCCTCTCTAAATGACTTGCAAATTTATTCAAACGCAGTATCAGGAGGTGCTTTATTTGTTGCAATAACTGTCTACAGTGTCCTGCACCAAAGGGTGAGGTACACCAAGCAGAAACATGGTTAGAAATACATTGGTTTAGAAAGCCATAAATCCTTATTTGAATCTGCCAACCTAAAAGTCACGTAGCGCCCGGATAAACTGTTTCTCCTAAATGCTACATCTGATTAAGCCATAGCATTAAATGACAGCTGAACTTTAACATTAATATGATATTATTTAAATAACCACATGATTTTTTTTTTTTTTAAACACGAAAAATGATGAATGATTTCTGGACAGCCCAAATGACATAAAGCAGGAGGACTCTTTAATGAGATTTGACAAAATAGAGACATATGCAGAATATTTGTTACAGCTCAGGGGTCCTCCCTGGGATGCAATAGAGGTTTTTTCCCTTTTTCATTGTCTATATGCACTGAACCATTCCTTTCTATTGTGACTTCCCTTCTCTGTGGATTTGACTTCTTCTTATGTCATTTATACATTACTCTTAATCAGAGAATTTGGTGGTTTATGGCTCCGAGACGGGATGGTGTGTCCAGGAAATGAAGGGGCAATGTGCAGTTGGGTCAGCCTTGGCCAGGGGAGTATCCTGGGGAGTTTAGCTTTGAGGCTGATTAGGCTGATCGAGAAATCACATTAGTCTTGAAGACTAAAGTAACGCACGGAATTGTTAACACAGCACACTCATACTTCTAGCAAATTATAATGTCTAAATACTTGATCAGAGAAGACTTTGTTATTGATGTTGTTAAGTACTGTTGTGTCTGTTCCGACTCATAGCAACCCTATATAAGATTTCTGTGGGTGGCTGTTGGTGCTTACCCTATAGCACCACACAAGGACTAAGAAGTCTTTGTTGTTATGAAAAGACATCGTGTCTGTTTTTGACTCATTGCAACCCTATATAGAGAGTTTCCAAGGAGTGGCTGGTGGGTTTGAACCACTGGCCTTTCAGTGCTGATACTACAGCGTCACACCAGGCTATTTTTAAATAGTTGCCTCGATCGTATCAACAGGACTCCTGACGTGGTGCTGTAGGATCAGCATTGAACTGCTAACCGCAATCAGGGGTTCAAACCCACCAGCTGCTTCTCGGAAATCCTATACAGGCTTGCTATGAGTTGGAACTAACTCTATAGCACTTAACAACCACAACAATCGTATCAACGAGAAAGAAGGTTTTCTTCTTTGGAAGTTCCAAATTCAGTTATTCTAGAGGCCATTGCCACTTTTCTACCCATAGTTCTAATATGAAGGAGGTCATGTGTCATGATAGTCTGACTTTTTATGACTGTAAAATAATTCCATGCTGAATATACTCACATTAAAAGACAAAAAAAAAGGGGGGCTCCAGTTTGGAGAAGTGTAAGAAATATAGACCATAGACTCTTAGCTACAATCAGATCCTTCTTCTCTCCCACCTGTCAGAATATTTTCTACATTCAAAGGTTGGCTACACATGTAAAAGAAGAACATTTGTTTGTGAACACATGTGAATTTGAATCAGAAAAGATTTAAATTTTCATCTTAAAGTATGCATAAAATGGAAACCTTTCTGCAAATGCCATCGCTTTAAAACGAAAATAAAAACCAGCACACGGAAAGCAAAGCTACCAGCAAGTGTGTTTGTGACCACGGCAGGTCCACATTTCCTCTCCAAGAAGGAAACCAGTGAAAACAGAAAACAAAACCAGCCTGCTCCTGCCATGGGGCCTTCCTCAGGCTATGAAAAAGCACTTCATGTCTAATCCTAATTTCTTCCACTTTTTTCCATAGCTGGAGGTGATCCCCCTAGCTCAGAACTTTTCTCTAATCTGATTGACTCAGTATGTGTTCCTGTCCAAACAAGAGTTAATATATCAATGCTCTGTCATTTCAAAAGGGCCTTGACACAGGGTACCAAGTGCAGAAGCTCACATGCCTGTAAAATGTCCACTTGCAATTAGATGCACAACACAGCTTTAAAAAAGGAGAAAACAAAGATAAGGAAAGAGTGAGGAAGATAGGTCCCTACCTTGCTCTTACCTTCGCAACATCCCCGTGAGAATCCTGGAGCTCTTCCCCAAGTTAGCATCAGTTTCCCGAAGCTAGGAGAAGAAAACGCAAGGCAGGACAAAATAAAACAAAGCTTCATGCAATTCAATTATTATTATTTTTTCCATGCAATTCAATTATTTTTAAAGAGAAATTAAAATGTTTCTTTCGTTATTTTTGCTGTTGTTAGGTGCCATCAAGTTGGTACCGACTCATAGCGACCCTATGTACAACAGAACGAAACACTGCCCGGTCCTGGGCCAACCTCACAATTGTTGCCATGCTTGAGCCCACTGATGATACCACTTTGCCAATCCATCTCACTGGGGGTCTTCCTCTTTTTCTCTGACCCTCCAACTTACCAAACATGATATCCTTCTATAGCAACTAGTCCCTCCTGACAATATATCCAAAGTATGAGAGACGAAGTTTGGCCATCCTGGCCTCCAAGGAGCACTCTGGCTGCACTTCTTCCAACACAGATCTGTTGGTTCTTTTGGCAGCCCATGGCACTTTCAATACTCTCCTCCAACACTATAATTAAAAAGCATACATTCTTCTATGGTCTTCCTTATTCACTGTCCAGCTTTTGCACGCATATGAGGTTATTGAAAATACCATGGCTTGGGTCAAGAGCACCTTAGTTGCCTGATATCTTTGCTCTTCAACACTTTTAAAAAAAGGTCTTGTGCAGCAGATTTGTCTAATGCATTACAATGCTTGATTTCTTGACTGCTGCTTCCATGAGTGTTGATAATAGTTGATCCAAGAAGAATGAAGTCCTTGACAACTCCAATCTTTTCTCCGTTGATAAGAATGTTGTTTATTGGTCCAGTGGTGAGAATTTTTTGTTTTCTTTATATTCTGATGCAATCCATACTGAAGGCTGTGCTCTTTGATCTTCATTAGTAACTATTTTAAGTACTCTTCACTTTCAGCAAGCAAGGTTGTGAATGAGTCTTCCTCCAATCCTGATGCCACGTTTTTCTTCATATAACCCAGCTTCTCAGATTATTTGCTCAGCATACAGGTTGAATAAGTATGGTGAAAGAATACAACCTTGTTGCACACCTTTCTTAATTTTAAAACATTCAGTGTTCCCATATTCTGTTTGAACAACTGCCTCTTGGTCCATGTACAGATACCTCATGAGCACAATTAAGTGTTCCGGAATACCCATACTTTGTAATGTTGTCCATAGCTTGTCATGATCCACACAATTGAAAGCCTTTGCATAGTCAATAAAGCACAGGTAAACACATCTTTCTGATATTCTCTGCTTTCAGCCAAGTTCCATCGTACATCAGCAATGATATTCCTTGTTCCACAGCCTCTTCTGAATCTGACTTGAACCTCTGGAAGTTCTCTGTCAACGTATGATTGTAGACGTTTCTGTATTACCTTTAGCAAAACTTTACTCGCATGTGATAGCAAAGAGATTGTCTGATGATTTCTGCATTCCGTTGGGTCATCTTTCTTTGGAATGGACACAAATACAGATCTCTTCCAGTCAGTTGGCCAGATAGTTGTCTTCCAAATTTTTTTGGCAGAGATGAGTGAGTGCCTCCTGTGCCACCCCACTTTCTTGAAAGAGTTCATTTTTTCCCATCAATTCCTGGTGCCTTGTTCTTTGCCAATTCCTTCAATGCACCTTGGACATCCTCCTTCAGTATCACTGGCTCTTGGTCATATGCTACCTCTTGAAACAGGTGAACATCAATCATTTCCTTTTGGTACAGTGACTGTATACTCCTTCCATCTTCTTTTGATGTTTTGTGCATCATTCAATAATTTGTCCAGAAAATCCTTCAATAACAAAAGTCTTTTTCTTTCATTATAGAAAATCCAAATAATGAAAATGCTTAAGTCCATTAAAATATTTGTATCTGAACACCTAGACGAACTCTGGAAATTCTTAGATTCAGAAAATTACATGGGGCAGATAATCGTATGATATTTACAATGGATACTTGAACTGGATATAAAAGCAAACATCTCACAGGCTGACCAAGTTTAACACACACAGAGTAGCTAATCTCCAACGTGTGACTATGCAAAATCCTAGGGAAATAAACAGAAATGTAATGGATGGAAGGAGATGACAACATTTTCATCGCTTTGGCTCTAACAGACGTGGCATACTAAAGAATCTCTCTTAGTAATCTTTGAAGTTGTAGACCTAAATCAAATATCTACTTGGGGGACATTCCAGAGTAGAAGAGATGCAAATAGCCTTTTATTCCTTCCATCCCATATTGTTTCTTTCTCTCTCCCTGGACTCTATGCCCCTAGTCATCCCTACCCATATGTAACGTATGTAATTGTTAACTATGATTCCTGTCCCAGGAACAATGGTGTCACAGTGGCTAAGTGCTTGCTTGCTGACCCAAAGGTTAGTATTTCGAACCCGCCAGTTGCTCTGCAGAAGAAAAACGTGGCAGTCTACTTCTTAACGAGTCACAACCTTGGACACCTTCTGGGGGCAGCTCCACTCGGTCCTTTGGGGTACGTAGAGTCAAAATTCACTTGACAGCAATGGGTTTGGTTTGGGGGTATTCATGTCCCACTACCACCAGCAGTTGCTGTTGAGTGGATTCTGACTCATGGTAAATATAGTAGACTTGTGCCTACTACAACTGTGCTCCACTGGGTTTGCTGTGGATGTGACTCTTTGGAAGCAGTTCACTTGTGAGGTGCTTGTTGGCCTCCAAGGTGACACTTTGTGAGTTTGAACTATCAACATTTATGTCATTGGTAGAGTGATTAACTACGCCACCATTTATGGCCCAAAGACCCTTTGTCTTAGCATTTACTGAAGCTTGAAAAAGAATGCATCACTTCAACTTACTCTTTCGCGTGCTCGCTGTATCTTTTCTCTGTCATGACTGAGGTTTTCCAACATCTCTTGGCCAATTTGCTCTAAGGAAAAACAAATATGTATAAGACATGGCAGCTTTGGTGCATAAAAAGTAACTTACAACATACCCCCCAAACACAGTAAGTGCAGAGGGAATGGTAAAGCTATGCACATAAAATACATTTTAATTTATGCATTTAAAAATGTAAAAAGCTATTATCTTTCCCAACGTAGCTTAAGCATAACTTGGGTGTGATTTATAATTTGACCTCTAGGATAAGGCCAACATGGCAATAAAGATTTAGATGAAGAGGTGATATGATTTACACAAGGCTGCCACCAACAAATTATCAGCAAAGATGAAGGAGAGCACATGTCCAATGGTCCTTCCATTGTTTATCACCATAGACTTTCTTAGTCTTCAGTTTTTATAGATGACAAATACTGTTAATGACTCTAATTTATCATGTCTATTTCATGATGGCAACGTTTTGCATCTGGAAGTCAATCTTTGATTAGAAATAAAATAGATTTTCATGTATGCTCCCTGCAGAAGTAACCTTTCTATTCTCAAATACTGTAGTTTACCGGTATTGGAACTGTCTTTAGAAGACTGGTCTCTCGGAGTTCACTTTCTCTGTAGCATGTTATCAGGAACTATGGATACTTGAGTCAGAGTGAAGTACACTCCTTAACAAGCAGTTGAGAGAAGTTCAAGTTGGAGACCGTATTATCACTCCGGAATTTCCAAACACTTATGGGGGTGTTGCAGGTTGCTCTCAAGTTGACCTGGACTCGTCGAGGGAGACCCCATATACTGAAGACTCAAACTGTACTCACAGGGCTTTTAAGATAGTGACTTTTCAATACCAGATGGCCAGGCCTGTCACTCAAGGCCCCTCTGGGTGGACCTGAACCACTAACTCCTTGTCTAGTAGTCAAGTGCTAAGGAACCTTAGTGGTGCAACAGTTAAGCACTTGGCTGCAAACCAAAAGGTCGGCAGTTCAAACCTATCCAGCAGCTTTGTGGAAGACAGACCTGGTGATTTGATTCTATAAAGATCCAAGAAAACCCTCTGGGGACAGTGGTGAGTCTGTCACATGCGGTGGCCATGAGTTGGAATTAATTCAAAGGGACCCCAAAACAACAATTGAGTGAGTAACCATTTGTACCACCCAAAGGACTCCTACAAACCCTCACACTTATGCTAGGATGACAAAGCCTTCTTGCTGAGTAGCAGGGAGGTTTCCCTGGCAACAGTTATCATTTGGTCTTTTGGTTGGCATTGCTCAGGCTTTCCTCTGACTGCAGGCCCCTTTCCAAGACAGTAGCTAGATCTTGACGAGACTCATAGTCAGCTGCCCTGAACACATTTTGTTCATACTCATTCACCATCAACTGGGAGGTGCCTTATCCTGCAATGGGAGAATACCAATCTTCTGCCTCTCTTATAATCTTGGCACTGCCTGACTACCTTATTTTATATATTTCCCACTCTTACACAGTATATTTACCAAAATTTCTAGCAAAAATAATCTCTGACTTATAAATGTATAGAGAAATTCAACAACATGTATTTAATAAAATCATTAAGAAATGAGTGACTTAGACACTGGCTACCTAAAATGGGAGGAGTTCTGGTGTGGCGCTGTGGGTTCATGCGCTAGACTGCACAGTCGGTTTGAACTGCAAGGTTGGTGGTTCAAACTCACCAGTTACACCTTGGAAACCCTCTAGAGGGTCGCTATGGGTCAGAACCAACTCGACGTCACTTAACAACAACAACAACAACAACAACCTAAAATGGGGCGGGGTGGGAGATAGAGTCCCCACTGAATGGTTTTTATCTTGTCTAAAGAGGTCTGGTGAAAGGAGATGGGGATAAGATTCTTATGATTCAATAGTGAGTAATTGTTATCATAATTAATTGCAATGATCACAACTGTAAAGGTAGAAGTTTTGTAACATAAAGGGGAGAGTAGTTAATCTCACATTCCAGGAAAAGGAGCCGAGGAACATCAAGGGAAAAGAGCATGAGCAGAAAGCGGGACCCTATCCAGAGATGGCGGCAGAGACGAGGACATGGAGAGAGAGAGCAGCTCTCTAGACTCATGGAAAGAAAAAGAACATGTGCTGGCAGCCAGGAGGCAGGCTTGCAGAATGTGTCCTTTGGTTGTTTAAATGATTATATATTCCTGAGGGTTTTGGTACAATTCTGCCCTCTCCCACACCAGAAAACAACAACAACAACAAAAAACAACTCAGAAGGAATACAAGAAAATACTGTTGAATGATGATGCACAGAGGGGATTGCAATCATTGCAATGAACTGATGAGTGTAAAACTGATGTTCTCCCATGTAAATTATCACTCTATTCACAATAAAAATGGAAAATTAATTAATTAATTAATTAATTTACAAAAAGAACCCTAGGGGAAAAAAAAAGAAAGAACTGAGTGTGGTATTCATTTGGCTACCACACGCATGCACACTGACAAAGTTTTTAAGGGGCACCCTAAGAACTGTTGTTGTTGTTAAGTGTCCTTGAGTCAGCTCTGATGCAAAGCGACCCTGTATAGGGTTTCCTAGGAGTGGCTGGTGAGCCTGAACTGCCGATCTTTCACTTCAAACTGACCTTGCAGTCCAGCGCCTTAACCCACAGTGCCACACCAGAGGGGTGTTAATGCCATGCTGAGAGTTTACACTCTGAAATCGCTGCCTGATCCTGAATCCCGGGGCTAACATTTACTAACGATGTGCTCTTGAATCAGTTTCTTAGCTTTGTGGTGCCTCAGTTTCTTTATTTTTCAAATACTGTAAGGGTTAGATAACTCAGTTAAAATGTTTAGCACAGTGATTGGTCCCTAACAACAATAATAAGTATTTATTGATATAAAACAATCAGTGAACAATTATAATCTTGATCCTTTCTATTCTAGGTCTGTCTTGAATGATAATTTTCTTTATCTGCAAAATAGTAGCCTATTAAATGGCTGTCCTAGCTTCCTCAGAAAATTGCTATTATAGTCAAATGAGGTAACCTGAAAACTGTCTGTGCCAATCAAATGCATGCCATCGCTAGTACAAAAGGATGAGTGCAGTCCCTGTTCTCTACCAGGCACAAAGGCTGCGGAGGTCCCAGCAGCACGAGAACTACCATACTATAAGTTGGCAGTTAACAAGCAAAGATTATAGTGAAGTTTTCATTTCATGGCACATCAGAATAGATACCGAATACAAATAATAAATAAATCTAAATTTTAAAAATGAAGACATACATTTCATGACATCTATATAAACTCTGAAACTTGTCTCCAACTTAATACCTTCTCTTCGATTTACTTTGTTGTTGTTGTTGTTATGTTCCGTGGAGTCGGTTCCGACTCACAGTGACCCTGCACAGGGTTTCCGAGGCTGTAAATCTTTACGGGAGCAGAAAGCCTCATCTTTCTCCCGCGGAGCAGCTGGTAGTTTTGAACTGCTGACCTTGCAGTTCACAGCCCAATTCGTAACCACTACGCTAACAGAGCTCGATTTACTTTACAGTTTATTATTAATTCCACACAATATAAGGAGCCCTAGTTGTTCAGTGGGTTACAAGTTGGGCTGTTCACCACAAAGCCACAGTTCGAATCTACCAGTCACTCCTTGGGAGAACGATGAGGCTTTCTGCTCATGTAAACATTTACAGCCTTGGAAACCCTATACAGGGTTGCTATGAATCAGATCTGACTCAACAGCACACAACCATCACTACCAGCTACACAATAAATCCTGGAGATAAAATTGGATAAGGTATGTGGTTCCCAGTGCAGATGTCATAAAAGTAGATGTTAACGCAGGAGGAAATAATTAGGAAAAGTTTAACACCTCCCTTTTTGCATAACAACTACCATGTTTGATTTCAGCAGACTATCATATTCCACTTTTGAATTGCTTTAATCAACATATTATGATGTAGCAATTCTACATTACTTTTCAGGATAAATTTTCTAATAGCTATGAATACCACCATTACTGCAGTTATGCCAGCAAAAATAGTATATTTCCTCTCATCTTGATGGCACTATAATAATTAATGTTGAGAACACGTCTGTCTGAAAAGAATAGGAAGCAGGTTGTATCTGTCTCCAGCATAATGTTCCTTCCTAATAAGTATTTGTGAAAGGAATAACGCAATGAAAAAAAGACACAGAGAGAAAACGGAGTTTGTGAAAGGTCTTTTGACCCCTGACTATTCTCAAAGCACGTCAGAATGTGCATCACAGCTCTGTGATTCTCCTGGGTCACCAGGGGAAAGCTCTACTCTAAAAGATTTGCAGGCTGATACTGAAGAAATCAATGGAACAACGGGTAAAGAGCTTGGGCCTTGTCAGGAGCCATAAGCTACTCGCCTCCCAGGAAATACTTCAGCCTCCAAAGGAATAACACTATTTGGCAAGAGAAGAAATACGAGCCAACGTGTACACATCCTGGTCTTCATATTGAAATATGATGCATTTCTTAGAAATGGAATTCTTAGTTCAGTTCCTACTTGCTGCCTTTCAATACCCCAATAAAGAAAATTCCAGGTTAAATGTATTAGAATAAAACAAACAGGTTTTTAAAGAAAGTTGTGTATGGGTTTTTAATTATGTCTCCTCTCCCCACAATCAAATCAAAACAAAATAAAACCAAACAAGATGACCAATAAGAGAGGATTTAAAAAAATTGGCATACAATGCATACTTAGTCAAAATTAGACAAAAACTAGTCACTGTTTTATATTTATTTGTCTTGATAATTTACCTTAAGGTGCAAGTAAGTACCAAAAACACTAATAAAGAAGGAACACATGGTAAACCAATGGCACCACGAGATGCCCTGAGTTAGATTTGTAGTTCTTTAACGGATATAGTGCCTTTAGCAAGAAAAAGCATATTCTACTGAAATAACTTGACAAATGATACATCTTATAAATACTGCACTTGCTGACCAAGAGGATCTTCCTGAGATTAAGAAACAATGGGAATGATAAAAGCAACTCAGAAGTGATGCTGCATGCTGGAATTCTTCCTGTC